AAATAAATAATATAATATATTTTCTTTTAAAACCAAAAATTAGGGTTTCCACCCTTTCAAAAATAATCATTTTTATTTTTTCTTATTTTGAGACATAAATAATTTATTTTACATACATGAAATAAACACAAAAAAACATCCTTTGCATATTTATATTCAATTGCATATTTAAATATTATTCATTTATTTATTTGTGCAAATAAATTCAATATGGTTGTAATAGTTTTAGGGCTTTATTTTGTGCAAGTACCCCCTATTCAAACTTGTATCCCCCTTCCCATAATAATGTTGTAATAGTCTTAGATTTACTTTTACGCATTTTATCGCTTTCAAATGCCATGATAGTAAATTAGGGTTTTTATGCAAAAACCAAAATCAAAACAAATAGCATGACTAAACACAAGACAAAAATGCATGAAAAATGACAACACAATGCACACAAGCACCCCTAGGGTTTCATCCACTTGTTGCCTTAAAAATGGCCATGGTATGCATGTTAGGTATCTTGGAAAAATCAAACAAAAACAAAAGATCATAGTCCCTCGATGACGCTATCTTGGTTGCTTAAAAACAAATGATCTAGTCCCTCAAAACTTGCTAAGATACTTGGCAACATTGTTATCATGGTCATACGATGACCCACGCCTGTCCTGTTTAACACCCAAAGATAGGGTTGTTTACCAAATGCAATGGTAAAACAATAATATCAAAGGAATAAAAATGTGTAGGAAAGATCTTTGAGTAGGGTAGACAACTCCTAGTTACTTGATCAAACTTGCAAACCATCCTTGCTATTTTCAAACTATCACACAATTTCAAAACATTTTCCAAACAAACTTTCAAACATTGAAACATTTTTCAAAAGACAAACACCTTTGTATACATTCAAACAAGAATCATTACAAAGGTTGCCTAAACAAAGGCCTCTTTTTAAAATACTTTCAAAACTACACACAAAAGCACCATTTCAAACAATTGAAAAGCAAAAGCAAGTGATCTAAAACAAGTAACTAAGAGCCCATGGAAAACCATGGATGAAAAGGGTGCTAGCACCTTCCCTTTTCATAATCTACCCCCCGAACCCAAAAACAATCTCAAAGGTCTTTCCTGTGCTTTTTTACCTTTCCTTTTGGATAAAATAAAAGTCGGTGGCGACTCTTGCTAAACTGAAACATTTGCGAATACAAACTCAAAACCTCAAGTCAGTTCTCCCACCGCATCACACATACCTACTTAACCAAGAAAGTATCAAAGCAACAAACGCACGTGCTACTAAGTATCATCGAAAAGAAGACAAATTTGTGGGCCGATTGCAAGCCCTCCTACCACTTTATTTACTCGATAACAAGAGAATAGCATGATTCAAAGCATCAACGTGAAACGAGAGCTAAGAATGACCAAGTGACTTGAAATGTGGGGGCCGATTCCAAGCCTTCCTTCAACTTTATTAACTCAATTACAAGCAAAAAGTAAAAGAGAAAACAAGCTAATAATCACATAAATATTTCCTACAAAGTAGGACTTCCAGTCATGTATCTCTGTTCCTACTTCTCACGGCAAAGAAATTCAAAGACAATGCGGGAATAAGATAAATGAGAAAAAAAATACCAAATAGAAAATAAATACGTTGCCTTTTCCTAACAAAGCGTAAGAATCCCTAAGACCTTCGCAAAAGCTTCATCAACAAACAAAATAGTCAGAAATCGAATGCACATGATAAGTGTCGAAGAGTCGTGAATGTGAAAATAAATCATAAGTAAAAAGTGCATCAAGCATATCCGGACACCAAATAATAGTCCTGCATAAGATATAAGTCCACACAAACAATGACAATGCACAAGTCTCATGAAATGAGAATCCAAGTTCAAACACGTCAGAAACAAATCTGAACCAAAAAGAAGTGGGATAAAGGCTTTAATCGAATAATCAAGAATTAATGAATCGATTAAATGCGAGTAAAGGTGTGACAAATCACTCTTTTGAACTGTCTTAGGAAGCTTGCACAAGTTAACAAATGAGTTAGTATTAACAAGGAGTGACAACCAAAGTTAAGCATTCATATCATAACCCAAATCAAGCTTAATTCATGAAGAAACAAGTTCCAAACATGTGTCGAAGCAACAATAACAATTACCGGAAAGAAACATTTCTACTCATGAAAATGCTCGAAAACACTATTCAAAACCATCAAAACTCAACACCGACATCAAGCAATCATCAAATTAAACCCAATAATGAATCAAGCAAGAATTAAATCATAATTTGCATGCATTTGCGAGTACCAGTCATCAACATTTAGGTTCATGAAAATACTCGAAAAGTCAATTTAAAATCATCAAAACTCAACACCGACATTAAAATTAACGGGTTGGATTCAAACATGAATCAAGAAAAAATTAAATCAAAATTGGTTTTAATTTGAGGATACCGGGAAGCAATGTTTCATGTGTCGGTGTTCACCAAAAATCAATGTTCGAACGTATAAAATTAAACACCGACATTTGAAACTTCTCCTGGAATCCATAAATAAATTGCAACAATTAAATCAACACCGGTACAATGACTTCCAAGCATCAAAACAAAAATTATTCAAGTGTTATCAACAATTAATCAACTTGAAATCAAACACCGACACATGAATTTCAATAATTATCAATAATTATCAAACATTGACACATGAAATTCAACAATTATCAACAGTTATCCATGAGATCCAAACAAATAACTCAAGTAATAAACTGATTCCATCAACTATCATAATTATCAACATGAATATTTTCAATAATCACATAATTTCTACAATCCAAAAATCAATTCATGTTAATTCAACACAATCTCAATTAATTCACCAATTAAATTCATCACAATAATTAATTCCAAGTGAGATCAGGAAGCAACTTACCAAAAGAGATGAAGAGGAGTTGATCGAAGATTCACAAAGAGAGATGTCACACGCGGATGATACAATTAGAGGAGAGCAGCGGGACACAGTCGCGTTTGGAAGGGAAGGCAGTCGGTTTCAGACGGTCAGGCGGCAACGGTGGTAGAGGCGCAATGCTGTGGGAGTTCAATCGCGCTATGGAGCGAAAGCATTAGTCGTTGGATTTGGTCGTCTACTTCGGTGACACGTTGGAGCTTCATCCTAAAATTGATCGGAACATGAGAGAGAGAGAGTCCTTCTCTTGAGAGCTTCTTGAATTCTTTGAGAGTGAATTTGTAATAATTATGGAATCCCTTTTGAATTTGAGAAAAACAATATATAGAGAGAGAGAGGCTTAAGTCATGTTTGGCATTTGGAATTATAAAAAATGTTTTTTGGAGCCAAATTTCCCTCTCCTTTTCATGTGAAATTTTCTTGCGCAGCTTTTTCATCATATGTTTGTATTCAACTTGAGAAACGAGCCATAAACCTCAATTTTATGAGCATAATTAGAACTCAAATCTTGAGGCAAATTTGTAGATGACAAAATTTGTGATATCGTGTCGCGAGAATCATCCTAAAATGTTGAAAATCAAGAAAGTTATGATTTTTACAGTATTTGAGAAATAGTTTAATGGAAATCCGCTTCACCATATTATTTTCAAAGTATTTGTATTTCCGGAGATCTTCCGTACAGAATTGGATCCTGGACCGAACATATGAAATGGAAATGATGTCAAGGAGATTCTTATTCCCAAAGACCCACTCGAAAATGTTGAACAGCAAAAAAGTTACGAATTTCTGAACCCGAACTGTAAATGTAGACTTTTGGCCCAAACTATTTCAAATCAACTAAAACGCTTGGCTTTCTTTGCAACAAGGCATGATGGAACACATGGGAACTTGGTGTGATAAGGACTTTATTAATCACTGATTAAATAGCTCGGGGGAACATGTTGAGTGCATTTTTATTCCTAAACTTTGAGTCAATGCTTTGTTGCATTGATTAACGAAATAAACATCTTCTGTAGCTTGACAAAGCTTAAGATAATTAAGTATATATTCATATGATAATTAAGTATAAGCCAAATAGGTTTTGAATGAAGAGGGTAAATTTTGGGGTACAACAAGTGTGTATGCATAAATTGGAGGTTGAAGATAGAGAGAGAAATAGGCTAATTTTATGGTTTCACCAAGTTATGAATTAAGCATGAAAGATTATTTATAGTTTTTGGAACTTTTAGGGCAAAAGGGACAAATTCAGAATAAAAATATATTTTGAAAATTGACAAAAAGGTTTAGGGTTTAGGGTTTAGGGTTCATGATATCTAAAAATCAATAAAATATGGAAAGATAAATTGGAAGCAGTAAAATACCAAATGAACAATAATATCTGCAAAAAGCGCAACCAAAGCAAAGAAATCCAGAAGACTTCGCGCGAGCTAGCATCAAAAAACTAACAGTCAGATATTGAATGCTCAGAGTAAGAGTGTCGAGACATCATTGATCTGAAAATAAATCGTAATCGAAAACTCAAGCATATCGCATATCACCCAATAATCCTGCACAAGTCTCAAATATCGACAAGCAAAACTGAATCCCAAGTCTCAAGTAATCGAATAATCATGAGTTAAATCCTAAAATCAAATGAAAAATCTTAAAAAGTTTTATTGATTTTATCATTTTTATCATGGAAAGATTTAGAAAAAAATTGAAAAAAATTCCTAAATTTTACATTTTTTTTTCGTTTCATTATATGTATTTTTTATCAACATTTTTATTAAGAAAATTGAAGAAATTTAAACATGAAGAAAAGCTAAAAAAACAAGAAATTGAAAAGTCAGGGGGGTGTAAACTAGGATCAGGGGTACTACAGAAACAGGGCACTAGGCCCATTTAGCAAGGTCCACTAAGCCAATTTTTTTTTGTTCAATTATCCAGCATAAAAAAGAACTTTAAAAAAATAGGCCTATGGAAAGAAGTTTTAGTTCGCGATAGTCCAACAACCCCATCAATTTTCAATCTATTCTATAATATCCTTATAAAAACTGAATGATAAAAAAAATTAACAGAGGATGTGATGAAACAGTGCAGTTTGATAAGAGCTAGGTTAGGGGTCTTCAGATCCTTCGAGAAAACAATATCCCTCCTCTTTAACTTGACGGATCAGCTCCTTCACCAATCTCCGTCTTCGATTCGTCCTTGAATCCATTTCAAACCCTCACAATGTGAAAATTATCATCACCTCCTTTTATTTTCGGTCCCTATCTCACTATATCATCGTGATTCCGCTTCATTTCAAAATCTTCGATTCAGCCGTTCGTTTTCTTCAATCTCTCTGTCCGTCTCTGGTCTTCTCCTTCGCCAATCGCGGCTACTTTCTTCTCAATCATCATCATCATGTTACGGCTTTGATTCAAAACTCAAGAAACTCAAAAGAAATTCGAAATTTGTTTGTGATGTGAATGAATTCGGTGATTATACAGTTATGTTTATAGCAGTTCAATTAACATTGTAGCGAAAAAGAATCAAGCACGAACGTAAAGAAAAGTGGAGACTCGAGGCTTATCGATGTTGCGGAGAATGAAGGTATTGCGGTTGAAGCGTTGGTGCGTGAAGACGATGATGGAAGTGATGTTGAGGCTCGAAGGTTGGTTATGGTGATGATGGTGGATTGTTTCTGCATAATGAAGGTGAGAGAGAAGTCGCGGAAGGAGTTTTCAAGGAAAAGAGATTGGTGATTGAAGGTTGAAGAAGATTGAAGAAGGAAGGTTAAGATGATCAAGGTTCGGAGCTTTCAAAGAGAGAGGAGTGAAATTTTCTTGTGATTTTTTTAGAATCAGTCGTGATCCAATGAAGAAGCCCCATGAATCTGAAGGAAAATTCTATTTTGTAGCAACCAAAATTTGTTACCGTTAATGCAATCTTGACCTTTGATCTATGAATTCTGTTATAAGAATCCAGGGATGAGATTGAAACTTTTCCTCCCTTAATATTGTGTTATGAATCTTTTTAGAGAAGCTTGTGTTGGGCTTGTTAAGTTACAGTAGAAGTTGTCAAAGTGCAGTCATTAGTAAAACGTGGCAGTTTGTTTCCTATTTTTTTCTCATTGTAAGGCTTATATAAGCCAACTGTTTGTTTCAAATTATATGCAATTATTATTCATATTATTTTCTGTGAATTAAGTTGTGCTTAGTGTTTACAATAATCTGGTATCAGAGCCCCATCACGGGGCCTGATTGTGAGAGAAAAGAAACCGCAGTTTCTTGAGAAGGAAGAGTCAGAAGAGAGACTCAAAGTATGACAACTGAAAATAACTTCGCTCAACCTGCAATTCCTAAGTTTGATGGTCACTATGATCATTGGTCCATGCTTACGGAAAACTTTCTTCGTTCAAAGGAGTATTGGAGTTTGGTGGAGACTGGTGTCCCTGCTGCAACAGAAGGAGTGGAGCTTACTGCAGCACAACAAAAATCAATTGCAGATCAGAAGCTGAAAGATTTGAAGGTCAAGAATTATCTGTTCCAAGCCATTGATCGAACCATTATGGAGACGATCCTTAACAGAGACACTGCCAAGCACATTTGGGACTTTATGAAGCAGAAGTACCAGGGTTCCACAAGAGTCAAAAGAGCACAGCTTCAAGCTCTTCGAAAAGAGTTTGAGATTCTACATATGAAAGAGGGTGAGAGTGTTGATGCGTACTTCGCTCGAACACTCACCATAGCAAACAAGATGAAAATTCATGGTGAAAACATGCAGCAAGTGGTAATCATTGAAAAGATCCTGAGATCAATGACCTCAAGGTTCGACTATGTTGTATGTTCAGTTGAGGAGTCTAATAACCTAGACACCTTAACTATTGATGAGTTACAGAGTAGTTTGTTGGTACATGAGCAAAGGATGAACGGGCATAGAGAAGATGAGCAAGCGTTAAAAGTGGCCTACGATGATAGAGCTAGTGGAAGAGGAGGCGGCCGAGCTCGCGGAGTTTTTCGAGGAAGAGGCAGAGGAAGAGGTAGACAAGCATTCAACAAAGCTATAATTGAGTGTTATAAGTGTCATCAATTAGGGAACTTTCAATATGAGTGTCCTAGATGGGAGAAGGAAGCGAATTATGTCGAGCTTGAGGAGAAAGAAGAAATGTTATTGATGTCATATGTCGAACTCAATCAATCAAGGAGAGAAGATGTTTGGTTCCTTGACTCGGGATGTAGCAATCATATGTGTGCAAATAAGCAGTGGTTCTTGGATCTTGATGAGGAATTTCAACAATCGGTGAAGCTCGGGAATAATTCCAAGATGGCTGTGTTGGGAAAGGGTAACATAAGGATGCAAATTGCTGGAGTTACTCAGGTAATCACTGATGTGTTCTATATACCTGAGTTGAAAAATAACTTATTAAGTGTTGGACAATTGCAAGAAAGAGGTGTATCTATTTTGATACAGCATGGTGTATGTAGATTCTATCATCCCAAGAAAGGGCTTATTATGCAAATAGCAATGTCTGCAAACAGGATGTTCAAGATACTTGCAAAAATTCTTCCAAGAGCTCCCACTTGCTTTCAAACAATTCTTGAAGACAATACTCACCTTTGGCACTGCAGATATGGGCATCTAAGTTTCAAGGGCCTGAGAACTTTGCAATATAGGCAAATGGTGAGAGGGTTACCACAGTTGAAGGCACCATCCAAAATATGCACTGATTGCACGGTGGGAAAGCAACACAGGGATGCAATTCCAAAGAGGAGTTTATGGCGAGCATCACAAAGATTGCAGTTGGTACATGCTGACATATGCGGACCCATCAAACCTATTTCCAATAGTAAGAAGAGGTATTTCATAAGCTTTATTGATGATTACAGTCGTAAGGTGTGGATATATTTTCTTACTGAAAAATCTGAAGCATTTACTATCTTCAAGAATTATAAAAACCTTGTTGAGAAAGAGATAGGAGCTTTTATTTGTTGTCTACGCACAGATAGGGGCGGAGAGTTCACATCTCACGAGTTCAATTCCTTTTGCAAAGCTAATGGTATTAGAAGGCAGCTCACTGCAGCCTACACTCCCCAACAAAATGGAGTAGCTGAGCGCAAGAATAGGACAATCATGAACATGGTTAGAAGTATGTTATCAGATAAACAAGTTCCAAAGAATCTCTGGCCAGAAGCAGTAAATTGGACAGCACATGTTCTTAACAGAAGTCCTACATTGGCAGTAAAAGATATGACTCCTGAAGAGGCTTGGAGTGGTGTAAAACCCAATGTTGATTATTTTCGGGTTTTTGGATGCATTGGCCATGTTCATGTGCCAGACAGTAAAAGAAAGAAGTTGGATGATAAGAGTTTTCAGTGTGTGTTGCTAGGGATGAGTGAAGAGTCTAAAGCATATAGACTTTATGATCCAGTGTCCAAGAAGATAGTTGTAAGCAGAGATGTGGTTTTTGAAGAAAATGAGTGCTGGAATTGGGGGAGAAGTGCTGAAGAAGCAAGACTTGATGTCCTTGAGTGGGGAGATAGTGATAAAGAAGAAAGTGAACATTATCAAAGTGAAGAAGAATCTGGAGAGGAAGTGGCAGCAGAAGATGAAGGAGGAGAGGCTAGCTTGTCTTCAAGAGAGTCACCTGGGGATAATTATCCAACATATGGAGAAAGCTTACCGAAAGGGAGGAACAGAAGAGCACCTTTCTGGATGGAAGATTACGAGAGTGGGAAAGAATTTTCAGAAGAAGAAACTGAGCATAACAATTTTGTTTTGTTTACCTCAACTGCAGATCCAACTACCTTTGAAGAAGCTGTTCAGAGTTCCAAGTGGAGAGCTTCCATGGACTTGGAAATAGAGGCAATTGAAAGAAATGAGATTTGGGAGCTAATAGATTTGCCTAAAGGGATGAATAAGATTGGAGTAAAATGGGTTTTCAAAACTAAACTCAACGAAAATGGCGAGGTTGACAAGTGTAAGGCTCGGTTGGTGGCGAAAGGGTATGCACAACAACATGGCATATATTATACTGAGGTGTTTGCTCCTGTGGCTAGGTGGGATACGATTCGAATGGTAATTGCTTTAGCTTCTCGAAATGGTTGGAGTGTGTATCAGCTTGACGTCAAAAGTGCTTTCTTGCATGGAGAGCTAAATGAAGCAGTATTTGTTGAGCAACCACAGGGTTATGAGAAGAAAGGTGAAGAGTATAAGGTGTACAAATTGAAGAATGCATTGTATGGCCTTAAACAAGCCCCTCGTGCATGGTACAGCCGGATTGAAGCATACTTTGTCAAAGAAGGATTTGAGAGGTGCAACTATGAACACACCTTATTCATAAAAACAGAAGATGGAGGTAAAATTCTGATCATTAGTCTATATGTTGATGATCTGATTTTTACTGGTAATGATGAGAATATGTTTCTTAAATTCAAGGATTCTATGAAACTTGAATTTGATATGACAGATTTGGGAAAGATGAAATATTTTCTCGGTGTGGAGGTTCTACAAAATTCTGAAGGCATTTATATCAGTCAAAAAAAGTATGCAAAAGAAGTTTTGGAGAGGTTTAGGATGGAGAAGAGTAATAGTGTGAAGAATCCCATTGTTCCTGGTGTTAGACTAATGAAGGATGAAGAAGGAGCCAAGGTGAATTCTACCATGTACAAACAATTGGTCGGAAGTCTTATGTATCTCACTGCAACAAGGCCAGACTTGATGTATGTCGTGTGTCTCATTAGCAGATTCATGGCCAGTCCAACTGAGTTGCATTTGCAAGCTGCGAAAAGGGTGTTAAGATATTTGAAAGGTACTGTGGACTTGGGAGTTTTTTTATAGAAAGAAGGGTAATGGAGATTTGATGGCATATACAGATAGTGACTATGCAGGAGATGTAGATGACAGAAAAAGCACTTCCGGTTATGTGTTTCTACTCAGTGAAGGAGTTGTGTCTTGGTCCTCGAAAAAACAACCTGTCGTTACTTTGTCCACTACTGAAGCAGAGTTTGTAGCAGCTGTCTCTTGTGCTTGTCAAGGGGTATGGATGAGGATAGTATTGTAAAAGCTTGGTCATTCTCAAGGCAAGTGTACCATTGTGTTATGTGACAACAGTTCTACCATTAAGCTATCCAAGAATCCAATCATGCATGGACGCAGCAAACATATTGATGTAAGGTTTCATTTCTTGCGTGATTTGACCAGAGATGGAGTTGTAGAGTTGAAGCACTGTGTCACACAAGAACAAGTTGCTGACATTATGACAAAACCACTGAAGTTGGATGTGTTCTTGAAGCTGCGTGAGTCTATAGGTGTATGTGTGGTACCCCGAGTAAACTGAAAGCATTACTGCAATCAGTTTAAGGGAGGAATTTGTTGGGCTTGTTAAGTTACAATAGAAGTTGTCAAAGTGCAGTCAGTTAATAAATCCTAGTATTTAGGACATGTAGGTGGAGTCACAACATTTATTTAGCTATTTACCACGTTATTAGAATTAGTAAAACGTGGGCAGTTTGTTTCCTATTTTTTTCTCGTTGTAAGGCTTATATAAGCCAACTGTTTGTTTCAAATTATATGCAATTATTATTCATATTATTTTCTGTGAATTAAGTTGTGCTTAGAGTTTACAACAGCTTGTAATTTTGCCGAGTTGTCCAATCTATTATGAAGCTTGCTCTTAAATTCCTTTTTTATATATTTTTTTGGTTTAATTATTCTGTCGCGATTCTCATGGCTACTAATATATGTTTCATATCTTCATCATTTT